GCAAGGAAATGTTCAAAGTATGTCTGATAATGTTTTTTTCTTCAGAAAAAAGTCTCATTTGTTTTATTTCGGCTAGAATAAAAGCAGTTTGTAATGTTTTATGAACCATTTTAAGGACAAAATTATTATCCCCTTTAAGCTAAATTTTTTCCTCACAGTCTACAGAACAAACCCTCGTTATACAATAACTTGCCTAATTACCATACCCTGCCTAGTTAGACTAATTAACCTAGTCAAGCTTTTAAATGTCACTTTAAGCTATATAGAAGTGTCTTAAAAATATCTAGTAAAATATTATTTACTGTCATCACGGCAAAGATAAAATAAATCAGTTATTAGAGATGAGTTATTAAAACTATTATGATTAGAAACGTATTGAAACAATATTTTTTCCATTAAACAGAAATTCGGGAAAAAATAAATAGGGGTGCTAATAATTAAGGAGACTAAAAATTCTGACTTCAACTGTATTTGAGCAATATTACACGAGTAGCAATGTGATATGGCTGTATATCAGCACTGATGGGAGGCGTCCGTTGGCACGAGGCCAAAGGCCCGTGACAAAACTGCTGATTTTGCGCACACTTTAAGATTATAAGGCTAAACGTGACATGAAATGCCATCCGTCTACAGAGTAGTGTTACAGTCTACAGTAGTTCTCTATTGCAATCGGGATTTCACAATAATTAACCCCGAAAATAACAACAAAGTCACTACCAGCATGCTGTTGTGTTTGCGATAAGGAAAAATGCTAAACACGTGCAGACTTTGCTTATTTCAATCTGCCAGCACAACACACATTTCTGATATGCGAGCAAATCGGTATAAATATAGCACCACAACATACAAAAGAAAGGGATTGACTTGATTGCAGCGGGTTTTGGGCGGCCGCTTCGATTGGGTACTGTACCAAAGTTTAGTTTACATACTTTACCAAAGAGGGGGGTGGGGGAAATTATGGGAGTTCTTCAGGAAGAAATAAAAATGGGATGGTTGCGGGAGACTGGTCTGAAATACGAGATACTCCCATGAAAAACGGAAGTGTTGGCAGATGTGCTTACCAGTTTAATATTGATATGATCTGCTGTACTTAGAAATCAGACTGTTATATCTTCCAAGCATAAGGGCTTATTATGCGGTTTTGCCGCCATCTTATGGATAGAAAACGTCAACCGACACCGATGAGCCCTCTCAGAAACTGTAAATATTTTAAAATAAGCCTTACTCTTACAAATAAACTGCCTAGTTGCAAGCTAAACAACTACATTCTAGACTAAAAAAGCCTCAAAAGTACATTTTGTTGTCTAACAACAGTAATGTTTGTCAAACTGTAGCGTCTCTCTGTTGCTGGTTGTATGTGGGCAGAGTAATACACAGAGATGAAGGGTGAAGAGACCTTTGTGTGGTGTTACTGGCGAAATATTGCACCGCTATCAGCCAATCAGATTCAAGAACCAGACAGAACTGTTGTATATATATATATATATATATATATATATATATATATATATACACACACACACACACACACACACACACACACACACACACACACACACACACACACACACACACACACACACACACACACACACACACACACACACACACACACATATATATAAATATATATATACATAAACTTTTAAAAATGTCTTCTGTGAATCAGGACCAAACGTACAGATTATTAGTCCCTCTTCACTCGCTTGAAAGTCTATTTTTGTTTATTAAAGCGACAAGTGCTTTGAATTTGCCACTTTTAAGTAAGGAAAACAGCACTAATCAAGCTATTTTATGAGGTATTTAAATGTCAGGGAATGTCGATGAAGCCATTTAAATGAGGGCTGAAATATCTTCCATAAATGAAGAGGGGAAAAAAGCACCACCTTGATCTGAAATAAATCCTTAAAAAACATGTTTCTCAGCCGTGTGCTTGAGGAAGCGGATTAATTTTTCATGGAAATGTTATATTGATTGTGAGGTAATATATTTCCCGGCACTGGGGAACGTGTGCGGGGACTTAATTCACCAGGTCACGAAACAACTAAACATGTCTAATCATTGATGTTTTACCAATTAAATCCACGCCAGGGGTGTATTTCACAATATGAATAGTAGGAGTGTATGCCTATGTGACTGACAACACACGGAGACTGAGATCACAGTGGGCTTCTGTAATGAGAAACAGAAGAAGAACACGGTATAAAACCCGAGACAAGTGTCTGTAAACAAAAGCCAGTATTACACACCACACGCACACACGCTTCAAGAACAGACACATTCACATTGTCAATCTGTCCTCAAAACAGACAGCCTCAAGAAGCCGCGGTGTTCAGGAGCCGGATTTCTCAGATGGAAATTGGAACAGTCTGCATTGAGGGATTTCTGACATTTCTCTGCTATACTCTACACCACTGATAACATCACAATATAAGCCAATATTATCTCTGTGGAAGATGAAGATGTCAACTGGTATTATACTGCTATAAAAACAATATTTTCTAGTTATGAATTCAGAATATCAATCAGAGTTTAAGACAATATTTTCAAGTCATAAAATCTGAATATATTTATTTCATAGCTTCAGCAGAAGACATTATTCTTATGCTATCAAATTGGATTATAAACCAACATTTATGACTGCAGCTAATACATCAGAACAGGCCGATATTTGTGAAAACAATTCACAGTTTCTTTGTACCCTAACCTGTTTCACAAGTAAGACATGTTCCTGGATCAACATTCCAATCAGCCAATCCGACTTAAGAGATACATTTAAAATTTTTGTTCAGTTTAGGCTTACGGTTAGGTTTATACACTTCTACATGAGTGTTATCCAACTATTATTGCCCTCTGATTTTAGGAATTATTTACAATTATGGTTCGTTTAGCTAGAGAAGCATTAAGTTTTTCCACTTTCGAAGTCTGCCATGTAAATAGCATATGTGCAATATACTACTGACTCTTAAAAGAAATGGGAGATAAGACTTTATTTTATAAGGTTTATTGAACGTTATGCTCAAAAAACACCCATAACTCATTAGTAGAATAAGCACAACCCTATTAGACCATACGCCGGGGTGCAGAACGTATTTTTCTATACATAAAATAGCAAAAGTGGATTCAGACGCCCTTAATGCTTTTGTACCATGTGCTTTAGACTTTGCGTTTAGATCAGGTTTGGGCAAACTCGGTCCTGGAGGGCCGGTGTACTGCACAGTTTAGTTCCAACTCTAATCACACACACCTGCTTATAGATTTGTAGTGATCTTGAAGACACTGATTAGCATGTTCAGGTGTGTTTGATTAGTGTTGCAGCTAAACTATGTAGGACACCAGCCCTCCAGGACCAAGTTTGCCCACCCCTGGTTTAGATCGTTAAAAATAGAACCCAAAGACTTCAACCTGAGTTATACAGATAAAACACAACACAATAGTTACTGGCAAATAATCACAACATGTGTCTCAATAAGCTGAATATTCTGTTGTCAAAAAATAAAAAATAAATAAAAATGTTGACTCTTAAATCAGAATACTGATACAATTGTTAAGAGATAAAAGAGTATAAACCAATATTTGCTAGCTATGAAAACAATAATATTTTCTAGCTAATTCAAATCTGAATTTAAATGATAACATATTTTATTTTTGTTTGCGAAAAAACTTAACCCTTACAACCAAATAATATATCAGAATATTCTCCAGTTAATTATAAAAATAACAAATCAAACTTATTTCTAGCCTTTTTTTAATTATATATATTTTTTAATATATATATATATATATATATATATATATATATATATATATATATATATATATATATATACACATACATATAATTACATATAATTAGAATTACATTTTTTTAAAAACAACTGGAACTGTACACGATAAAACAAGAAATTGGTCCAGTTTTTTTTACCTACAAAAAAAAAAAAAAAACAAGTCTGAACATTAGCTCTTGTTTTTATTTGCATAATAATCTGAATATAAATATAATAATATAAACTATATATAAACTATATATAAACTTTTTATAAACTATAGTTTATAACTATAACATGAAGCAAAATTTCTAGCCATGAAATCTGAATATAGCCCAATATTTTTTAGTTTTATAATCTAAATATAAGCAAATAATTCAGAATATGAACCAGTTTATATCATAATGTATTCACTTTTTTTATTTTCCTTCAGCTTAGTCCCTTTATTCATAAGGGGTCGCCACAGTGGAATGAACTGCCAGCTTATCCAGCATATGTTTTACACAGTGGATGCTCTTTCAGCTGCATTCTAGTACTGGAAAACTTCCATACACTCTCATTCACACACATACACTACAGCCAATTTAGTTTATTCAATCCATTTATAGCGCATGTCTTTGGACTGTGGGGGAAACAGGAGCACCCAGAGGAAACCCAAGCCAACATGCAAAATTCCACACAGAAATGCCAACTGACCCAGCCAGGACTTGTACCAGCGATTTTCTTGCTGTGAGTAGACAGTGCTAACCGCTGAGCCACCATGTGGCCCACTAACCTAATGTATTCAAGCAAAAATATAAACAAAACTTTGTATTCTATACTAGAAAACAAGAACAAATCCCAATTATTTTACAGCCCTAAAAAAAACTCTAATTCAGATTTAATTAAAATCTAATCAGTATATAACAAACTATTTTACAACTTTAAAACAGCAGCTAACCTGGTATCTTCAAGCTGTAAAATCAAAATGTTATCCAAGGATGCATCAACATGTCAACCATAAAAAAACGAGAAAACGGCAGTGAAATGCTGTAATTTCAGCTGAATATTTTTCAGCCTTGGCCACGAATTGACTTCTTGTTGCATCACTAATTCAGTCTCTTTCCATCATCTCTTACTTCCACCGAGGCTTCAATTTAAGCAAATATTGAATTGAAATGTATCGTCTGCATCTCATACGTGTCTGACAGGAATCACTCGGTCTGAGTCCCAAAAAAATACGGGCGAATGTACCTCCAGGAAAGATGCCTCTTGTTCCACTTATTCTGAGGAGCCAGAGCTCGCTTTCGTCTGCCTGCTGACAGATCCGGTTCTGACATATCTGGCAACGAGCAGCGAGGGGTCTTCATTAAGCCCAGGGTTGCTTGGTCTGCAGGGAAACACATACATGCATAAAAACAGACTCGGATGCATGTGCAGAATGCAGAGAGGATGATGCTTTTCTCTCTCTGTAAATAATTCAAAGGATATAAGACTGAAAAAAATTGGAATTAGTTAGAATGATAGATATTGGCTTATAATTAACAAACTCGGATAACATATATCAATAATCAATGTTTATTGGTAACAAATAATAAGGATAAAAATCAATGATTTATATCTATAAAACAAGAATGAACCAGAATATTCCCCAGCTCTGACATCAGTATACGCAGTATTTTCTAAGTGTAATGTCAAGTTTTAGCTGATGATTTCTAGCTATAAAAATGTAAAGAATAAATACAAATGTAGCCTTTTTTTGCAGAATCTAAATTATTTATTAACTACGTATAAAACAAAAATAGTTTCTAGCCAGGGACAACAATATTGTGTGAATTTGTGTGATTGAGAATTGAATGAATCAGTTTTATTTCCAGTGTATGTTTAATGCTGTTCTGTTTAACTGATGTACTTGGAACATGTGTCACAGTTCGCCTTGCTTTCTAATAGCCAAGGTGCATATTGGGATTTATGTAACACATCTCATATGGGCCCTAAAACAATCATTTTAAAGTCATAAATACTGAATATAATATTTTTGCATTGTGTCAATTCCTCATATGCACTAAATCACAGACTGATTAGGATACAGTTTCACTATAATTAAAGAGCCCATATTATGGGTTTTTGAAAATTCCCCTCCATGTAGTGTGTAACACAGCTCTAAGTGAAGTGAAGTATCCAGCTAAGGCTTAAATCTGTAAGAATACAGTGTTTAAAACTGTTGATTCATCTATAAAAGAGTCGAATCATAGTGCTTCAAACGAGTCGCCTTGATACCGACTCATTAGGTGTTTCGCCATGACGTACGAACGAAACAAAGTTTTTCACGTGCACGCGCAAACCCGGGAGATTTCAAACCTGAGGCCCCGCCCTCTGACGCAGTAACCCAGACACACACACACACACACCCACAAACACACGCACACCCACAAACACACGCACACAAACATGCCGGTCGATTGAAGTCACACTGCAGATGGATATATTGAGTCTCTACCCAAAGATGAAACATCAGCATTATAACCAAGCAGTTGGAAACTTCTGGAAGCTACATGCTACAAAGAATACTTCATCTGAGTTTGTTAAAGGAAGGATCAGTAAAGAGTAACTGATGGACGTCAGGATGGGTTTCTTCCTACATTTCTCAAGTGTAAGTACGTGCGGTTAAAGTTGTTGCCTCGTTTACTCTAGCTTGCAAATGTATTTAGTTGTGATTTGTTACTTGTAACCGCGTGTACTGTATCAGGTTAACTGGATATATTATCTTATCGCGTGCAAAGTCACGTTAAAAACGCGACGCGTGCTGTTTGTTTATGGAGCTCCGTGCTAGAGTTCTGCTCCCGCGATTTATTCGGAAATGTATTCCCGCGCCGCAGAAATCTGGCGCGGGGAGAGAGAGAGAGAGAGAGAGAGAGAGAGAGAGAGAGAGAGAGCGAACGAACGAACGAACGAGCTTTGTGTACTTTGTGCTGTGTGTGTGTTTTTATACTGACAGCTTGGCTGTCTGGACTGTATACTGGGTGATATTTGGTTGTGTTCTCCGCTCTAGCGGGAACGGGCGCGGCGGGCAGAAAACGGAGCGGGTTCTCAGGCTAAAACCTGGCGGGTGCGGGCTGAAGCGGGAGCGTTGTCATCCGGAGGTGTGTGTGTGTTTTTGTGTGTGTGTGGTATGGCGAGTACACGACTGTCTCCTTCGTTCGGTTATCCGTGGCACTATCCACTCGCCATAGTGTGGCAGCTAAAGTCCACGCCTACACTATCGAGCGTGTATGAACTGTGATTACTTTTTAAATTGCTGATTAGCTATTGGCCATTTCCCTCTCTGACTGAAGGCAGTCGACCAATCGCGACAGACTGTCATCGGTCCAATCAGCGCAGATTAGCTCCGCGCTAAGGAGGGGTTTGGGAACAAATGAATCACTGGACGATTCATACAGGAGTCGCTGGGATAATTAGATAAAAATAAATGCAGATTATAAGACCATGAAAGTGTTTTTTGACCTTGCATGCATATTAGACTGTTGTTGGAGACCCTTACAACCAAGATATGACCTTATTTCATGTATAATATGGGCTCTTTAAACATTTTCATTTGTTTTTTATGGGGTGAAATCTGGTCAAATCTGTTCAAAATAACTTAGTTTATAACTGCACAACTACATTCTGTATTTTGTCTTTGTGTTTTATCATCTTCCTTATTTTTAGACTGTCAGTTAATATTTTAATTGTTGAACTGTATATATTGTACAATTTTAAATCATTATAGTGTATATATATATATATATATATATATATATATATATATATATATATATATATATATATATATATATATACACTGTTTTTATTATTTTTGTAGATATATTTGGAGTATATTTTTCTGATTTGGTTTTTCTGTTTGTTGTTTCTGTGGTACTTTTTAGATTTTTATTTGTTTTGCACTTGTATACCTTCACTGTGGATGGACTTTTTGGCACTGTAAACAAACACCACTTTGCACATGCTTTGCGAGTAAGCTATCATTTGCCCAATTATTTTGGTGTGATCTTTTATTTTTTGTTGAGCAGAGTACAAATTTTGCTTTGGAGTTTAAAGAAAGATGTTTTTTTTTTTTTTAATGAGAATACAATCGACTTCAAAATTTGGTATATTCTAATTTGGTCATTTTATATATGGATTTTCTTTTATCATAAGTGTAAATGGGCAGTGAACAAAACCTAATTTTACTGACTTTATAATAGAAACAGGTCATTATCTATGTACGATAAAAGAAACAAAAAAAATACCAAAGCAAAAAGAACTGTTAATTATCATAAAGCCTTACATCTTGTCTTTGAATAGTTTTTTTTTCTTTTTATATTGTATTTTGATGTCAATATACTATAATGTTATTGTCTGTGTATGTTCTGTGTTCAAAAATGGCAATAAATAATAATAGTAATAAAAAGCATAGGCTATAATTTTTTGATCCGTCAAAAACTTTCCCCCTAAAGACGAGCTGGTGGCCTCGTTTTTATCATAATATATATGTTTTACAGTGATCTTGGGTTTCTTGAAATAAAATGTATTATTATTATTATTATTATTATTATTATTTATGATTATTAATCGGTCAGTCTACTTGTATCCATCAACAATTCAAGGATACCATGGGCCAGAGATTTAAAGTTAAACCTAATCAAAAAATTCAAATGAAAATTCTGTTATTAAAACAAAATAATTTAATTTACTGTTATTAAAATAAAGTTTCATAGATGTGAAGTTTCATAGATGTGACCCTAAACGAGTCCACCTCATACTTCAGTTTCTCATCAAATCTTTCAAACAATCAAATGCTCTACAATATCCGACATGTCCCGCCCCCTTCAAAATGCTTCTTGTTTGGTTTTCATGTGATGTGCTTGAGCACAATTGCTGTCAGTGCAGAGCAATGAAAAAACTAAACATTATTGATGTTTTTGTTTTTAAGTGGAGGGGCTATGCCCTGCCCTGACTTTATGTTTCACTTGAGATTTTGTCAAACATCAAATAAAAATTGCACATTTCAAAGCACTTATCGGGACCTCTAATTACTCATCCTCAACCTCCAGAATCTTTTATTTTTGGATCACAAACTATGACATTTTAGATAACATCTGAGAGCTCTCTCATTCTACACAGACAGTAATGGTCCCTATGTCTCAGAGGTTTGGAACAACATATAGACAGAATTTTCATTTATGGGGTGAACTATCCTTTCAATATAAAAGCATGACACCATACAAACCTAACACTCCTGTTTCCTCCAGGCCTCCGAACCTCTGCATGGCTTTGATGGCCTTCGTCAGAGCCTCTTTAGTTTGTAGCTGTCCATTTACAGGATCAGAGGGTGGAAGATACCCAAACTTACTCAGCCAGTCCTGTGGGAGAAATCAGATGTCATTTTTTGACATCTACCAGGCAGCAGGCACAGTATAGCAAAAGCTTCCATGCTGTGCATTTTCATTCGTCCCTCAGCAATTTGTTTTGCATTTGTATTATATATAGTTCCCCCAATAATCAAAACTATCCACTGACATTTTTAAAGCTTTTAGTAGCAAAAGAGTAGACGTCACAAGTAGAATATTAAATAGTTACTTGATCATAGGAATGTTAAATGACTAACAGTAACACCTTCTAAACTCATTATTGCCACAGTCATATCACTCTGCAGCCCAAGACTGGTTACTCACTGAAGCTAAGCAGGGCTGAGCTTGGTCAGTACCTGGATGGGAGACTACATGGGAAAGCTAGGTTGCTGTTGGAAATGTGTTCAGCAGAGGGGTGCTCAATCTGCGGTCTGTTTGAGTCATAATGCCCCAGTATAGTGAAGGGGACAATATAAGCAAGAGTCAGTAAGAGCTGTTTAGTGGTCATAAAAAAAATCCATTGCACTTCTTGTAAAGAGTAGAGGAGTAACCCCAGTGTCCAGGTCAAATTCTCTCCATCGGCCTTTACCCAACATGCCCCCCAATCATCTCCATCCACTGAATTGGCTCTATCACTGTCTCTCCACTCCACCTATAGCTGGTGTGTGGTGAGTGCACTGGCACCATTGTTCTGTGGCTGCCGTCACATCATCTGTGGATGCTGCACACTGGTGGTGGAATGGGGAGACCCCATGATTGTAAAGCACTTTGGGTGTATGTCCATGATAAATGTGCTATATAAATACAAATTACTTACTAAACTACAAAAAAAAAAAAAAAAAAAACTTAAAATTTGTGGATTTTGAACTGAAATACTGAATGAATTATTCATACAACATGAATGTGACAAGATAAGAAACACTTGTGCACACTGTTTCTTATATTTTAAAATACCAAAATTAGTTCAAAATAGTTTCATACTGGTTTCAAAAATATCCCCCATTGTATTCAAGACATACTGTAGTTATGGCTATCTATAATGACAACTGTGATCTGTATGAGAATGTACAGGGTAAATTGCCTAAAATTGTTAAAATCTATTAATAAAAGAATCTTTACCCTTCAAAGGCTCATAGCCAAAACGGTTCTCTCTTTATCTCCTGTTGTATATTCAATAAATGAAGTGCAGACCAGTTTTATTATTTGTAATTTGACAAAATCTGGTCACAGCCTCAAACCTAACTGGAAGAATGCGCTGATTTATATTAGATTAAAATATTAAACTTGCTAATAGAAATTCATCACAAAATATTATAATTAAGCAGACTTTTCTAATGATTTGCTCTGAGCAGATGCTGCACTTTTTCCTCATGTCCTTAGATGAACTCACCTCTTACCAAAAAACCTGACAGATTATTAAAAAACAGAACAGGCACTAGTCTAATTAAAATGCTTCACACTTTTTCAAATGTATTTTCCTTTGTCCGCAATGTCACTTTCCATCCTGCCAGTATTTCATGAATCTTTTTTAACTGAAGCGCACAGTACGATTCATAACAATCTTTTACTTGTCAGACTGTAAGAACACCACGTCTGCTATATTGTAAGTCATGCCACATTGCAGGATCTCAGATGGCATTAAAGCCAGCCTCTTTGACACTCGGGTCTTGTTAAAAACAGACATATGCAGGACGAAGGCTCATCCACAATGTCCCGTCTTGACAATAAAAATGGATGAAAAAGATTGGTTGGAGCAAGTGATGGTTTGTTGTTGTGACACTATTTGAATTCTATGTCAAATTCTATGCTCTGACTTGTTTAATGTTTGATGATTCGTTTTACATTGCAGGACTTGCAAATCTGCTGACACTGCAATTCAATTTAATGACAATGAAATACAATTACATTTGATTGCAATGGCCATTAATTGCCGGTTGAAGAAAAAATAATCAAACTGTTTATCAAAGGATGTAGGATTTTTCAAAATGCATCACAAACGGCAAAATATCAGCCTAAATACTGTAGTACAGTGTGGATCTGGCTGAACCCAAACCAGATTGTTATCTCATTTGTGGCATATCTAATGACTTCTGTGATGTATTATGGAATTAGTTTGATGTCTGAAACAAAAATATACATAAATAATATTAATACAAAAATTAGATGGGCAGAGACACAGTGCGATTTCTCGTTTGATTGTATATGATTTTTTCCCATTAAAGAAAGTTGTTTGGAAATAATTATTGCTAGGATTGTTGTGGCTTGTACCTTATGAGAGGCACTTACAGTAAAAGCTCCCAAATTTACAAACTTTTTAGACATTTTAAAGATGATCAGGAGCTCGTAAGCCGCTCAGCTCATAAATTCCTCTCACATGACATGAGCTATGATCAAACAAGCATTAACGATTTCTATACGGCTTCTCTCGATGGGATAAAATAAAAATAAAAAACGGGTACAAGCTTGTACGACAGTAAGAGAGTGAGAAAAAGAGGGGCTCTGAAAGCAATGTTTTGGTGAAGAATTACATGAGATTGCTTTGGAAATCCCCAGATCATGAAATTGTATAATCACTATGTCCGAACGATTATTGTGGTGTACACTGATAAAACTATTCATTGGATTTACATTTTTTTTTAAGGTAAGTGATTGTAAATAATTTATGAGCTGAATTAAAAAAATAATACAGTACTCAGTTTAATCTGTTTAAATTCAGCCACAAGCCCTAAAAAAATGTAGTAAATCAAAGATTTAAGAATACACAAGACAAGCCACTCATATAGTTTTGAACAGGGAAAAGTGTAACGGTCAATATGGCGAATAAAGTAGCCAATCATTAATCACTATAGACTGATGTTTCTCTGGGCAAGAAGCTCGTACCAGATGTGTGCTTTCGGGACAATTTTTGTTTTTCAGCAAACACATTGAATCTCAGCAAATACTTGCTTCACAGACATAAGAAATATGTCCACACAAAGTCTGAAATCTCTGCTTTTAAATGAAGCAAGTGCACTTGAAAACAACTGTGTGAAACAAACGTGAGGTAGAGTCCATCATATCAAAGGCACATAACAAAACAGCAACTACTCAAATCCCTCACAAACTTGTAAACAAAGAGAAGCTGTCATTTCTGGAGGAGATTCACCATCAAGACCAATCAGTGAATTTCTTCTCAAGAGCAGCGTGTTCAGATGAAGCATTTTTAAGAGAATAAAAAAAGTTTAACATTGCTATAAATGAGGTTGGTGTCATGATCTTGTTCCTTTCGAGTGTGTATGCACATTAGTTTGGGCAACCTGAAAATTGCAGATTTTGTTTGATTGTAACGTTTAAAATAAAAACTTATGAGACAGTTGTTGTTTAATTTTACCGGAGATTCCAAAAATGTAATGTAATCGTTTGCTTGGCAAACAGTTTTGAAGAATTTGATGTTTGAGAGGTATTTCAAAGATGGCCGCTGAGTGAAATGACTTGCCTTAAAGGGACTTTGAGTAAATCCAATGATTTTTTTTTCTGTGTGTATGAGCACACAATCTTCCAACTAGCAGATTTGGCAGCATATATGCCTGCCTTTACGTTGCATTCAGAAACGATCAGAAATAGACTGGTATATTTTTGGTTTGTATATCGGTAATAACCAAATCCAACCAACCGTCCAACATATAAAGTAAGTATAGTTATATATACTTTTTAAAAAATATATGAAAAAAATATATTAAAGTAAAAGTGAACCAAGCTAATAACCTAAAAATCTGTAACCTTTAGGTCACAGGTGCCAAACTCATTTCCTGGAGAGTTTGAAACCCTTGCATTAGGTCAACTACATTTGTGATCAAATAAAATTCCAGAAAATCATTTAGTTATGCAATTATACAATGTTTTAATGATGAAATAATATTTAAGGTACACTATAATAATATTTTAATGAATGTATATAAATGTACAATTGAATTATTAGCCCTCCTGTGAACTTTCAAACAAATTCTCAAATGATGTTTGACAGAGCAAAGAATTTTTCACAGTATTTCCTATAATATAATTTTTTTTCTAGAGAAAGCCTTATTTGTTTTATTTTTCATAAATATGCTATTTGAAGGCTTAACTAGGTTAATTATATTAAATGAAGTTTATTTATAAACTAATTTTGAGAGGATCACGTGCTTATAATAGACCACAGCCGGTCCCACATTAGCTAATCACGATCTAACAATTCCCCACAGCAAGAACACCACCGGCTCTGGTCCTCGCCAGACCGGTTGGTGTTTCTGTGCGGAGTCTGCATGTTCTCCGCGTGTTGGGTCCCCCAATTTCCTCTCACCGTCCAAAGATATGCATCATATGTAAACCAACTAAGCCAAATGAACACCATGAACTGGCTCCCAGCATCAGTATTTTTCCTTCTCAAAGTAGTTCACTGTAGCCATATCAGCGAGAGATTTTTATAGATCTACCTGTGCTCAATCTCTCCTCTCGCCCTACGGGAAAGCTTGAGGATCCCTTAAGCTTAGGGCTCTCTCCTTGGGACAGCATGCCAAACAAGCATATTATATATCATCAGCTTAGTGTGACGTCTTGAGCTAATTTTAATTATGCTAACTTAAGATGGTTTGTTCTGTAGACAATCAGAAAAAAATATTGCTTTAAGGGGCAAATAATATTGATCTTAATACTGCTTTTATTCTAGCCAAAAAAACAAAAAAAAAAACAAATAGGACTTTCTCCAGAAAAAAAAAAAAAAAAAAAAAAAAAAAAAAAAAAAAATATATATATATATATATATATATATATATATATATATATATATATATATATATATATATATATATATATATAGGAAATACTCTGAAAAATGTCTTACTCTGATAAACATAATTTGAGAAATATTTGGAAAAAAAATTCACAGGCGGGCTAATAATTTTGACTTCAACTATACATGTCTAATAAACAGCTCCATGATCCTGACTACAATCTCCTTCTTCAACCAGCCCCACACATTAATCCACACCACACCT